AAATTTGGTGAAAGGATACAACCCTAACACCCTCCCTGATTTTAAACCTGTATCCTCACATTCTGTTTGAATGACAGCATCCTGGTCTATGTATGGGTTCCTCATGAACACAATTAAGTGTTCTGGAATTCCCATTCTTCTCAATTTTATCCATAATTTGTTAAGATCCACAAATAGTTGAATGCTTTTGTATAGTCAATAAAACACAAGTAAACATCTATCTGGTATTCTCTGCTTTCAACCAAGATACATCAGTGATGATATCCCTTATTCCACATCCTCTTCTGAATCCAGCTTAAATTTCTGGAAGTTCTCTATTAATATGCTCTTGCAACAGTTTTTGTATTATCTTCAGAAAAATTTTACTTGTGTGTTATATTAGTGATATTGTTAGATAATTTCCAAATTCTGTTGGATCATCTTTCTTTAGAATGTGTGCAATCATGGATCTCTTCCAGTCAATTGGCCAGGTAGCTATCTTCAAATTTCTTGGCATAGATGAGTAGTAAGTGTCTCCAGGCTGATATCTGTTTTTGAAACATCTCAATTGGTATTGTATCATTTCCTAGAGCCTTGTTTTTTGACAGTTCCCTCGGTGCAGTTTTGACATCTTTCTTCAGTACCATTTGTTCTCAATCATATGACACCTTCTGAAATAGATGAACACCAACCACTTCTTTTTTTGTACAGTGACTCTGTGATTCAGGAAACATCAAAAGAAAATGGATGGAAGACACATTGTCACTATACCAAAAAGAATTGGTAGATGATTATCCATTTCAGGAGGAGGGGTATGATCAAGAACCAATGGGATTGAAGGAAGAAGTGAAAGCTGTGCTGACAAAATTCAGTAAAATGGAAATTGATGGAATGCCTGTTTGATGTTGATGTTGATGTTGATGTCTGATTTTGGATACCCATTGAGATGTTTCAACAAATGTATGCCACACAGAAGGTGCTCACATGGCTATGCCAAGAGATTTTGAAGACAGCTACCTGGACAACTTACTGGAAAAGATCCATTTTTGTACTCATTCCAAAGAAAGGTGATCCCACAACATGTGGAAATTATCAAACAATATCACTGATATCACACACAAGTAAAATCTTACTGAGGATAATTAAAAAATGGTTGCAGCAGTACATTGACAGAATTCAGAAGGGGACATGGAGAGAGGGATATCATAGCTGATGTTAAATGGAGCGTGTCTCAAAGCAAAGAATACCAGAAAGATGTTTACTTGTGTTTTATTGACTACACAAAAACATTCGATTGTGTGGATCATAACAGTTGTGGGTAACATTACTAAGAATGAGAATTCCAGAACACTTAACTGTACTCATGAGGAACCTGTGCTTAGATCAGGAGGCTGTCATTCAAACAGAACAAGGGGATACTGCATGGTTTAAAATCAGGAAGGGAGTGTATCAGGATTGTATCCTTTCATCATACTTATTCAATCTGTATGTTGAACAAATAATCCCAGAAGCTGGACTATATGAAGAATGTGGCATCAGAATTGGAGGTAGGCTCATTAACAACCTGTGATATGCAGACAACACAACTTTACTTGCTGAAAGTGAGGATGATTTGGAGCAGTTATTGAGGAAGATTGAAGAACACAGTCTGCAGTATGTTATTACACCTCAATATAAAGAAAACAACAACTCACAACTGGACCAATAAGCAGCATCACAATAGATGGAGAAAATTGAAGTTGTCAAAGACTTCATATTACTTGGTTCTAATAATCAACACCAATGGAAGCAGCAGTCAAGACATCAAAAGATGTATTGCATTGGGCAAATCTGTTACAAAAGACCTGTTCCAAGTGCTGAAGAGTAAAGATATCTCCTTGAAGACTAAGGTTGTTGTTGTTGTTGTTATGTGCCATCGAGTCATCCCTGACTCATAGTGACCCCTCCTTGGGTTTCCGAGGCAGTATCACTACGGAAGTAGGATTGCCCAACCTTCCTTCCTAGGAGTGGCTGGT